TGGGAGAGCTAGTCCTCCCTGGGGCTGAGGCTGAGGCGAGCAACTAGGATCTCTTAGAGTAGATGGCTGGGAGCTGCACCCCTGCATGTATGGAGCTGCGAACAAGAAAATCAATGGACAGCATCCCAAAGATCTAGAGAGTCCATAATGATCAAAGGAAAGAGGAAAATGGGAAAGGAATGTTTATTCCTCTGAATCATCTAGAATTTGTTCTTGAGGCAGTTGTGCTATGGTAGACAGAAGACTGGACCTGTAGTCCTATGGACCTGGTTTTAATGTTGGCTTTACAAAAAATAACATGGCCTCCAGTTCTCCATCAGTAAAATGGAGAAGATTCCTTTATCCTGCAGTTATTATGAGGATTCATTCCTTCAACACATTTTATTAGCCTCAACTAAGTCATAGGCCAGATGCTGGTGTTACAGAACAGACAGCAGCCATCATGACAATGCCAAGTGCATGACAGCGCACAGAAACGTTGGGAACTATAAAACAAGTGCTCAATATGATTCATATTTATTCCATCTGACTGTCTCACCAGATTGTAAACTACATGAGGGCAGGCTTTCATCTACCCTATTCACAAAGTCTGAGGCATAGTAGAAACTCAACACATACTGAGTTTCAGTGAATAACTAAATAAGTAACTAACCATTCTGATTGTTAGATGCCTCGGATAAGAAGGAAAAAGACAGGGACTGAAAAAGACAGGGAGAGGTCAGGGACAGGTCAGGTCTTGCCCAAACTATCTTTGGTTCTTTCCCCTCCTCCAAGCATTACCTGGCACAAGCATAGAGTCCTAGCGGAGCCAATTCCCAGAGTTCACAGCAGACATATTTGGTTGTGTTTAACTTTATGTTCTGTCTTAGAGTGAAAGTTTGCAGATAAAACGGTCTGTGGCAGGCCATTCCCAAATGCCTTTATTCTAGAAAGTACAACAAAGGCTCACATTCTGCATTTAATTAGGCCTATACTTCTTTTAGCCTTACTTAGTTGAAACAAAAACAAAAGTTATCAGTAGGAAAATGAGAAACCACATGGAGACTTTGAAATCTCCTTAATTCTGACTTAACTAAAGAATGCAAGAACATTCCCATGAGACTCCATCCCATTTGCGAGGGAGAAGGAAAAGGACTCATTTTAAATATGCCCCACAAGCTTTCAGTTTACTGTAGGATAAAATGTTATTCTCAATATTTATCTATCTACCTATCTATCTGACACACAACTACTGGCTATAGGTTGGAATCCTTAGTTTAATTCTTACTAACCATGTGGCATTGGACAAGTTAATTAGTCTGAGTCTCAGTTTTCTCTTCTTAGGTAGAATAAAACCCAACTCACAGGGCTATAAGACTATTATAAATGACATAATGCATAAAAATCTTTTAGTATGGTCTTTGACTCATTGTAAGCACTCAATAAATGGCAATTGCTGTTTAATGTTATTGTTTTTCTATAATTTAAACAGGATAATTCCTATCCAGTCTCAGGGTTCCTACACCCTGGCATTGTTGACATTTTGGGCTGGATAATTTTTTGTATAGGTCAATCTGTGCATCTAACTTGTTTAGCAGAACCTCTGGACTCTACACCCAGATGCCAGAAATAATACACAACCCCCCTTCGCAGGAGTGATGACCAAAATATCTTGAGACACTGCCAAATGTTCCCTGGGAGACAAATCTTCTGTCGTTTGGGAAGCATTGCTATAGAACAAAGAGCAGTGAGTGGTCCTAGAGAGAGAATAACTGGTTTCTGTTAACTGATTTGTGATCTTGGGTAAGTCCTACCACTTCTCGGGCCTTGGTTTTCTCATATGGTAAAAGAGGGTGGGAAATTCCTACTTTCTCTTTCAGAATTTTTCTAAGAATGAAGAGAGAAAGGAAATCAAATGCTTGCAGGAAGTGTTCGAAAAGTAGGATGCTATTATGACTAAGTTGCTAGAGGTGGTCTATCGAGGGGCAATTCCGAGAAGACTTGCCCAGCAACATCAGCTGTTGCTCAACAGCTGATGGCAACCTGCCTTCTTCTTTAATGCTCCCCCTCCCAGCAGCTGCTCCTTGATCAACGTCAAGGATTCCCTGTGCCTTTAATGGATGTACTTGTGGCTTGGCTTGAAGAATTCCAGAGGAACTGTTTCCTTTCAACGTGAAATGCAAATGCTCTTTTTGATAAAAATTATTATTATAAGTGCCGGAAACTGCCTTGTCATCTCTAGATTGAGTATTCGTCTAAATTTATCTCTCACATGATGAGAACTTACCAGTGGTCAGAATGTTAAGTTGTCCTCTGTGGACTGATATTCAGAAAGAAAGTTTCAGGGCTTCTAACATCACTGTACTGATTAACACTATGATAATACAGAATAATACGAAGGGGGATTTCCTCATCAGCAAGTGAACGTATTTTGATGTCAAAGCATATTATGAGAAATCTATATCCTAGAATCCAGAGGTGCAGGCTATTGTCATTCTTTTATCTATTTCTGAAAAAAAAAATCTTTAAATGGGAGATAGCAGCGGGTCTGGGAAAAGATCTGCGAGCTTTGAGTTTGGTCAGAGCTATGTGTAGACAGAGGAGGGTTCAAGCTCCAATCTCATCCTTTGTGTGATGTAGACCCATCCTTCAGCCCTTCTGAACCTCAGTGGACTTTAACACCCACCCCACTGTGTGGATATGAGTTTTAAATGCACATGAGTATGTAAGCATGGAGTTTTGTATGGGCACATGTAAGTGTTTTGTGAGATGTAGGTGATCTGTCTCTCTCTGTCCGCAGTCTGAAAGGCTGTTTAAGGATTTCTCTCATCCCTCAGTGTGTGTATTTGGTCTGATGACTTCAGGAAGGTTACTGAAATGAAAACCATACTTTTTAGGTGTAATTTAGAGTCCTGACTAAACTAAACTAAACTAAACTAATTATAATAAAGCTTGAATCAGCTTAACAAATCTTCCAGTTTATGAGCAAATTACCTTCCTACTTCTGGGTATTAGTTGGAAATTAGGGGTCAGAAGACACCCAAAGGACAACTGCATGTATCCAGAGAGGAGCGAACAATGTGTTTCTTCCCTAAAATAATTCATCTGGTCTCCTTAAGGACACACATCGGTATTCTGAGATAGCATGGTAGAGTAACAGGAAGATGAGATTGGACTCAGACAGATAATGCTATTTAGAAGTTGGGTGTAACACCAACAGCACAGGGTTAATAATACCCATCACAGTGTAAAGTCAAGTATAAAAGAAGCCTATGAAAACCCCGAGTACCATGCCTGACACGTGGAAGGTGCTCAGTTCGTGATGCTTTTTATCCTTGACTCTTAAAGATCTTTGTACCTCACTTGGTTTAGGAAAAGGGGTGGGCAGCTAAGAAAATGATTATAAATCTACATTTATTTTTATGCATTCCTATGAATGTTGAATATAGCATGTGGGAAAGTCATGAATAATTAAGGGCACACCGTTTAAAAAATACGGGATAATTTGCTTTGAAGTTTCCAATGGTGGCTCTGGAAGAGTTTTACTTCATAATTTGTTCTTTATGCTGCATATGAAGGCATTTTAAAGCCCAGCAACACAAAAGAGGTCTGGTCACCTCTTTCTCAAACTTGGCATGTTTAACCACCCATAAAATCCATTTTGCAAGAGAAGACAATATAGTTTAACAGGTAACACATAAGAATGAAATCATAGAATAATAGTTTCCCACATTTTCATCACTAAAGTTCATTTTTATTGCTTCTTCCTATGGACCTCTTTAGTATGTTTTCGCTTCCTCTGTTCCATAACATTCGTGCTGACTTCTCTTGCATCACACACCCTGCACTGTGATTGTAATGTGAATCACATTGTATTTCTCTTTCAAACCCCCTGCTCCACAGTGGGCTCTCAAACAATATTTGCTAAACTGAGAGCAAACATTCCTCTATGTTGACTACATACCAATAGTAGATGCCTCCTTATATACTGACTATATTATTTGTTAAGCATTTACCACCTTCCAGACATCATACAGTTTTTTTTTTTAAACAACCCATTTATTCTCCCAATAGGATGTTATGATTATGTCCATTTTCCTGCTATTGCTTTTCCTGCAGTGACACTGGACTCTGAGCCGGGAGAACCCAGCAGACATCATCTATAAGAACTAGGACCAGGAGGGGCGCCTGGGTGGCTCAGTGGGTTAAAGCCTCTGTCTTCAGCTCAGGTCATGATCCCAGGGTCCCGGGACTGAGCCCTGCATCGCATCGGGCTCTCTGCTCAGCAGGGAGCCTGCTTCCTCCTCTCTCTCTGCCTGCCTCTCTGCCTACTTGTGATGTCTGTCAAATAAAATTAAAAAAAAAAAAAAAAAAAAAAAGAACGAGGACCAGGAAGAAGATTCAGTTCCCAGATAGTCCCAACTCCAGGTTTCACTCTAATTTTCCTTCTCTTTCTCCTACCCCGCCAAATACTTTTCTAGGAAATGGAACAAACTGACTCAAGAATTTCATTTTCTTCCCACACTTCTGCGACATGAGAAGATGACACAAAGGACAGAGTTTCTCTACACATTGCCCTGAGTAATGTGTTACTCAGAATGGCTGATTAACACCCATAGACTCATCCTACCTCGTGGGTGCTCTCAAGGACAATAGGAAAACAGTTCTCTTTCGGCTTCTGTCCATAATACCTGTTATGCGAAAATGGGTGCCCATGGACATGGACCCTGGAGGGTAATGTCTTTTTCTGCATGGCTGATTGTGATGAGCTGGTTTCCTTGTGCCTGTTTCACCCACTAACTGCAACGGCTGTGGGAAGCAAGCAGTTTGCTCTCCGAGAATGTGAGCTGGTACCGTAAAAGTTGTTTGACATAGACATAGCAAGGTTTATGTGCCTTAGAAACGTAGTTTGAGATCTAACAAACACCACCACTCTCCTTGGCCCCCTTATCATCTCTGCTAATCGCAGGGGGACGAGAGAGGCTCTTTTAAAGGTCACTGAATACGTTAAAGGCATTTACCACATGCTGGGATGTCGCACACGTCAGACTTGAAATTTTCATCCAAGGTGAAGCACCAAGGAGCCTCCTTCTGATCCCCTGGATTGCGGCAGTAGGAATGGCCCCCGTTCAGCTCCGGGAAACGGAGGGCAGTAAAGGTGTGTGTGTGCGGGTACTGGGAATTCCACGGCTGGCACTGGCGTCCTGATTTGGTCACACTGACTGTCCCCCGATAGTCCACACCTGTGCTGTTATAGCACTTGTGATCTGAGAAAGCAGAAGAGAAAGGCTCAGATTGTGAGAAAGAACCAGCAGTTGCTGAAGCTTCCAGCCGGCAGTTTCTGGAAAGGCTTGCAATTAACCTCATGGGCTAAGGCTTCCCCGCTGGTCGGGGGCCAGGCGGGCAGTCTCCTTGCTTGCTGGGCTGGGACAGCGGTTCTGCCTTGCAGTTACATTCCTGCGAGGATTTAAAGCTTATGGGTCAGGAATAAAACCAGTCCTCCACAAGTATTTTTAATATTGAACACAAAAAAAGTCAGAACTGGGGGCGGGACCCAGGGGGCACAGGAGTGATTTCCTAGTGAATGGTTCAGGAAAGGTTCAAGCTAAACTCTTCTTTCCATTTTTGCTTGATGTCTTTAGACATGAATCATGGGATAAAGAATCTAGTTCCCAGAAAATGTTCGCTAGGAGCGGTGCATATGGGTTTCTAACAAGAGTTAGGGCCACTCCGTGCTGATGGACTGGCTCTTCTGGAGAAGCAAGTCCTCTTCCCAGGGGACCACAAGGCTATTTCTTGAAAGCATGGCAAAAATCCACTGAGTTGAAATAAATGAAAATATGGAGGGGTAATGATAAAATAATGGTAATAATGAAGATATTGCTATTATTACGTGCTAAGTGTAGTTCTCAGCCTTTTAGATGCATTAATTCATTTAACTAATAGCATAATATTAAATTACAAAAGGAAGCTCAAAAAAACTGCCAGTGAGTTTAATTCTAGGGGAAAGGGCAGTTATAGAGGAACAGAGGTGAGAGGACAGTGGATAGAGACAAGCCCCATGTATATGTATTTTAAATTGTGGTACAATATACATACCATAAAATTTGCCATTAGAGTATTTAGAACATTGAAAATGTTGAGCAACCTTCACCATTCCAGGACACAGGTCTCATTCCAGAACACCTGTATCATCCTCAAGGAAATCCTAAACTCATTCAGCAGTCACTCCCCAAGCCCCCCACCCCATCCCTGGCAACCACTAACCTGCTTTCTGTCTCTATAGATTTGTCTATTCTGGATGTTTCACAGAAACAGAATCATACAATGATGTCTGGCTTCTTTTGCTATCATAATCCTTTCAAGTTTCAGGATTTTATTCCTTTTCAATGGGTGAGTCATATTTCATCATATAGATATACTACAATTTGTTCATCCATTTATCCGCTAACGGACACTTGTGTTGTTTTCACCTTTCAGCCATTGTGAATAGACCTCTTGTGAACACTGGCATACAAGTTTTTGTGTGAACACCTTTTTCAAATTCTTGTGAGTATACCCCCAGGTGCGGCATTGCTGGGTCGTATGGCAATTCTATTTAAGTCATTGAAGAACCAGCAGCCATATGTAAACATGACCATCTTCATGAAGCATCTTGAGGCCAGGGACCGCATCTAACCCACTCACTGAGTGCTCCATCCCCCACACAGTATTCAGCCCATCGGAAGGTAATCTGCCCGCCAAGAAGGTCCACTTTTCACTGTGCCACGGGGTTGCGGGCCCCCAGGCAGCACAGAAGGCCAGGAGTTACCACCTACTTTTTATTTATTTATTTATTTATTTATTTATTTATTTATTTATTTTTAAATGTTTTATTTATTTATTTGACAGAGAGAGATCACAAGTAGGCAGAGGCAGGCAGAGAGAGAGAGGGGGAAGCGGGCTCCCCGCTGAGCAGGGAGCCCGACGCGGGGCTGGATCCCAGGACCCTGAGATCATGAGCTGAGCGGAAGGCAGAGGCTTAACCCACCAAGCCACCCAGGCACCCCATCCACCTACTTTTATTGATAGGATCCGCCATGGGAATTCCAATCCGGATGCAGTTTGCGGCCTCCGGGCTCTCGGGCTGGGGGAGATCTTCACAGTTTGGCAGTTTCAGCCTCATCAGGATCATGGGATTGGATCTCGCAAAAATGTACTCTGTTTGACACAGGACGTTTTCCAGGATTTCACATTCATCGCGACACAAGTCCCGGGGCTTTGGGATGGATGCCGTCTCGTCGCAGTACGGGAAGGCGTAGTGGCACAGGGAAGGAATGGCGAACTGAGAGCACTTATCAGATAAGTGGCTGGAGGTGCCGATCATGGTGAAGGCAGCTGGAAAACAAACACAGTTATTAACTCCCAGGGGCCAGGGTTTATCTCCGCCGGTTATCTAGTCAACAGATATCAGATATAAACACACACGGGAAGGAATCCACCCGCACTCAAACAGACAAGGCCAAGAGGAGATTCAGGTCAGATGTGCAAGCGGCTTACTTTCACTGGCTTGAAAAAAAATCATTTTGACTACAAAGTTAAAAAAACAGGATTAGGTTACATATGTACCATTTCCTAATAAAAAGAATTAATTAGGTTAAAGAACAATATATTTTTCATTTTTACTACAAAGCAACAGAACTTTGTGTTTCATCCGGTTCTTTTTATGAGTTTTATGAAGCTTCTAAAACTTTCGACAGCTGCAGGGCAGAACTCGCTGTCTGCGGTGGACAAGCCTGATCCCAGGATTTAGTTCTGCATCTTACGTCTGAGGTGGATGACTCTGGGTAACTTGTTTAATTTCTCTGTGCCTTTGATACTTCTACTTCGTCTTCTGAAAATGAGGCAATTCTCTTGGAAGTTCTTGAAAAGCTCAACTCAGTCATTCTGGGGTGTGTATTAGTGGTCATTTAGCCTGACCTCTTTAGCTTGACATCCATGTACAGAAAGAGTACCTGCCTCCCTTTGCATTGACAAGGAGCTTATACTTCACAAGATAGTCTGGCGGGGTTTGGTACACTGTTTCTCAATGGGTGTTCCTCAGAATATTCATTCTGTTGAATATTCATAGTGTTTGAGAAACTAGGGTTCCAGAGCCAAACACGTTTGGGAAATGCCGGGTTAAACAAAATTAAGTGGCTTTCTTTAACAATAGTATTTTCCAGTAAGCAGATGTCCATTGAAAATGTCTGAGAGGATTATTATACATGGGTGATGAAACATTTACTTCAGAGCTCCCATTTATTTTTTACTTAGTAAAAATATGCTAAAATGTTCTTTTTTTTTTTTTTTAAGATTTTATTTTTTTTTATTTATTTATTTTTTTTTTATAATTTTATTTTTTATAAACATATATATATATATATTTTTTTTTTTCCCCCAGGGGTACAGGTCTGTGAATCTCCACGTTTACAAACTTCACAGCACTCACCATAGCACATACCCTACCCAATGTTCTTATATTAGGTTGTAATGTGCCTTCCACAGCCCCTCCTCATCTGTCCTGCTTCTGTCCTCTGCTCACTGCACAGTCCTTCCTCCTGAAAGTTCTTTAGCAAGTGACAACTCCAGCTTTCTCTAGTTGCTTCTCCAGATTAAACAGCTCCATGGGGCTCCTCTTAATTCATTCATAGTCCCCATGGGACATAGTTTCTCGACTCCTTGCTGTTCTGTGTGCCTGCCTCAGGTTTGTTCAATCATAAGGTTACCATAAACTACAAGGCACTTGGTTACATTTGAATTTCAGGTAAACATTTGGAACATACTTATACTAAAAAATAATCCATTGTTTACTTGAAATTCAGAAGTAACTGGGTGTCCTGTGCTTTTATTTGCTAAGCCTGGCGACCTTATTAGAATCCCATTAGGGCAATTTTAATGGCTTGCAAGGATATATGGAAATGGTGCACAACTACACTAATGGAAGAAACACAAGGCTGTTATAACCACCAGAACCAGGTGTGCAAAATCGTACAAGGTAGCCTACACACTGCTTTGCTCATGTGTGCTAGAAAGTGCATCACTATTAGATTTCCACTAAAAAGATACTTCTGATTCAGAAAAATGAAGGGTAAAACAGAGAAGGCTAGAGCAAGAAGAGACTTATGATCATCTTGCCTTATCACTCACTTCACCAATGAAGAGAGAGATTTTTCATGAAGAATTAGAGTTTTCCTTAAAGTCATAGTAATGGTGTCCAGAATTCTAGACTCTAAATTGATTTAGAGTTTACATGACTTTGAGTCTAGGCGATGTTGACTCCGAACAGTAAGCTCAACGAGGGCAGAGACGTAAGCTGGCTTATTCACCAGACCGGCATAACCCCAGTGCCCTGTCCAGTTCCTGGTGTGGCCAAAACACTAAAAATCTTTATCAAGTACCTAAATGAATGTGAGAGTTTTCAGAGCACCCTTTTCCTCTACGAGCAACAATCTTCCATAAAGTATTCTAGTGTTCCTTCCAGAACACGGAGATCATATCTCCTGCTTCTCTGTGGTCCTGCTCCTAATCCCTATGCCTAGCCCAATCCTTTGTCAAGAGAGGAACTCAAGAAAACGTGTGGGGAGAAAAAGGGTTATGTAAGGTATCAATACAATTTCACTGGTGTTACCTACCTGTGATCTGATTTTCTATTTCCCCTTGCATGTGCAAAGACTCCATATAGACAGTGCGGTTGCCAATAAATCTTGCACATGCAATCCCTCTGTATGGCTGACAGAATCCATCTTCTTCATACTCATCTCTAAAAACAGAGCACAGACATGGAGCTGGTGAGTTGGCTCCGACTAGGTGATACCCGAAACAGTCGCTAGGGGGAGAAGCTGAGCACAGGATACCCAAGGCTGGGCTAAGGAAGTCAGGCTTTTCCTCCATTCCATCCATCGCTTAAAACATCTGCTGGTCACGTTGGTCAAGTTTCCTTCACCCCCAGAAAATCATTCTGAAGCGCAAAATCATCCTTAAATAGGGGAGAAAGCATTTTTATTTTCGCAGCTGGTGGTGGGCTGGAAGATGATGTAGTTAAAAAAGTAAAGAGGAAATGAGTTGGGAATCTGGGCACATGTTCTACAATTTTTTGTTTTGTTTTGTTTTTTAAGCACAGATTATTTCTGCTTCATTTGCTACAAAGGCGTGGGTGCCTTATCCACAAGATGCACTCCAACTGATGTGTCTACTGGGGGCTCCACTAGGTGAGTAGCTGGGTGCGGCTAGAAAGAAACCAGAGGGCAGTGCAGCTATGTGGCTCCTTGCTGCTTAAGACCCATTATCTCTACCCTGCAGAGAAATGTCCAGGCAACCCCGGGACTGCACAATTTCAAATGAGTCACTAAATTCCAGGAAATCTACAGAATGTGTCAATGAAAATCATGCTTTCGTGATCCCCGAAAACTTTAAAGATACTCTTAAAAAATCTGTGGCCTCAAAATTATAATAAAAAAAGTATGGGGAGTAGATTTTATTCCAAAGACAAGGGGATGCCAGATAGTGTGGTTAGTGTCAGTGTGGCAAACGGCTGGAGGTGGAAGGCTGGAGGGTGGGACCCAAGATGGGAGCTTCGGCTTGAAAGGATAAAGGTCGTAACATCCCACGAGGGTCTACCATAAGCACAAGACACCAGAGTACAGAACATCCAGCTGGTTCTCAAAAGCAGACCACAGCCAGACAAAAGGCCACCTGCCAGGCTTCTGGGTGGACTTCAGCCCGGTTCTTCCTCCTCTGTTAATCTGGCTGGAATCAGTACATTGTGTGAATAAAAAGATCATTTTTTCCTCTTTGGTTTCTTCTAAGTTAAAGTACTTTAAAGCAGGAAACAGGAGAAAAGTTGTCTTCCTGGGTTTAACATCTGCATGTCCTTAGCCAATCTCTCTGAGTCCTCTGAGCTATGGTTTTCTTATCTGCAAGATGAAGATGATCACTGACCTCTCTACCCTATAAGCGAAAGTCATGAGGACCCTATGAAATAATGTAAACGTTCTTACAAAGTGCTACTCAGAGGTAACACATGCTTATTATTGAAGTATTTATGATCACCAAAGAAGACATTTATTTAAAGGACAATCATTTACTAAGCTCCTATTCTGTAAAATTGACTTGGAGTCAGTCTTATGGCCCTAGACTTCCCCCTTGGGGGTTCAATGTGGAAGTCGAGAAAGTCCACTGTAACAGGAAACCAGGTGAAAAAAATCTGATAGAGCTGATCATTAAAAGACCAGTGTCCAGAGGCTCTCCATTCCCCATTCACTCCAACAGTCTTTTTGGAGGTGGAGACTGGGGAAAGTATCTTCACTTTCGTTCCCAAAAATCTGTATTGCAAAGCTCTTAAAAACTTAACCTTTAAGGACACACACAAACGAATCTGTCACCTACCTGACATGAAGACATTGAAATTTTAACGTCGTAAAATCCTGCAAGCACTCCACATGTTTACTTTCATAAATCCTAGAGTAATGTTGAAGCCTTTTTGGCTTAAATTTTACTTGGGTTGTAAAATTAACCCTACTTTTATTGGGTAACTAATACCGTAAACCTATGGGGAGAAAGAAGTTTCTCGATGACCTAGCCTTGGATCTTGGAAACCAAAGTACTGAGACCAGAATGCACTTGACACCACCCCCCTCCCCTGACTATTACAGATGATGCCTTTCTATCCCTAGGCATTAGCCGAAGCCTGGACTTTTAAGGTGTCGTTATGAGAACACTTCTTCCTCCCCCACATTAAACTCTCAAGGCCTCAGTTTATATCTCTTGGGAGGACAAAACCCTGGAATTACCCCCAGATATAAATCCCCAGCCTACTGGGAGTTCCCATATTTTATGTGTGGGGCTTAGCCTAAATATCTTACCACCTTTCCAGTTCAAGACTCTAAAAAGACTCTTTGAATACTTTTTTTTTTCCATAATAAAAAGGAATGCAGTTCCTTGGCTGCCTATTCCTTATCAAGGGCTTAGAGCTGCAGGTGTATTGAATTTTTGACTGTGCCCAGAATTCCTGATCTTCTGACCAGTCTCTTGAGGACAGAGAGAAAAAGCAAAACAAAACAAAAGAAAAAAACAGCACTTAATGTCATCTGTGAGGGAGTAGTTCTCAGCCTTGGCTTCTGTGAAGAATCTTCTCAGAATGCTTTTGAAAATACCAATGCCTACGCCCCACCTCAGACCTATTAAATCATCCTCTCTGGGGATGCAGCTGGGCAGGCGTGCTTTTTAAAAAGCTCTCAGGTGATCTGAATGTGTTTGAGAGCCACAGCACTAGAAAAACAAACCTCTATTAAGTGTCTGCCACTCTCCGTGCTGGGTACTATGCTAAGTGCTTTCTTCCCAGTAGCCCCTTATGTAGTATTATTATTCTTATTTTACAGAGGGAGAGACTCAGGTTCGGAGAAATAAGTGGCTCAAATTCACAAAGCCAGTTCATGGTGGAGCTAGGATTGAAACTTAACGTTCAAGCTTAAGCCATTACGCCATATTATCAAATCTATCATGACGTTCCTCTTTTCAGTATTAATTAGATCAGCCCAATTATAAATGAGACTTTCAAATGAACCTTTATTCTGTACCAGGAACTGTGAAGTTTCACTCACATATACCATTGATATTAAATCATTAAATCCTGACAACAATCTTACAAAAAAGGGGACGTGTAATCATTCCCATTTTACAGATGAGAAAACTGAGGGTCAGAAAGAACGAAGAACTTGTCTAGATTTACACAGCAAGTAGAGAAGCTAGATTTGACCCAAACTAGCACTTTTTTTTTTTAAATTTAAAGATTTTATTTATTTATTTGACAGAAATCACAAGTAGGCAGAGAGGCAGGCAGAGAGAGAGGGGGGGAAGCAGGCTCCCCACTGAGCAGAGAGCCTGATGCGGGGCTCAATCCTAGGACCCTGGGATCATGACCTGAGCCGAAGGCAGAGGCTTTAACCCACTGAGCCACCCAGGTGCCCCCCAAACTAGCACTTGTAACCATGGTATACAGCTTCCCTCCAAAGGTTTATGAAGGTTTTTGCACTGCTTATAGGGGCTTTCTGCTGTGAAGGTGCCTCGGTGTCTCCCTGGTGGCAAAAAGATTTCCTTTGGAATATAGAGTCTCAGTCACCTTTCATGTTTTCCATTTTTAGGCTGGAGGGAAACCAATGCTCCTCCAACATTCATCAGCTCTAAGCTTTTCTCCAGCTCACGCTTCTTTCATCATTAATTTTGCTGAGCAAACTTAAAAACACAGAGCACACGGCAGCAAAATTGCAAGGGCACTTGCAGTGAGCATGCTCAAGGCTGCGTTCTTTCTACAGAGAAGAGGGTGCACTGTGAATGGGCAAATGGAATTTTGCACCAACATGTGCCATTGACCTCACCGTGATGTTAAGAAGCAGGGATGCTTTGTGATGGGGATTCATGCTGTCTGACTCATAAAGTAATTTAGTTACCATGTTGTCAATCCCGATAGCCTTCCACCTCCAGGGTCTCCCCAAGGGGCTTATGAGGGATGGTCATACAGGGCTAACTAAGAGTGACCATGACCAACATGGCAGCAATAGGGGCATCCCAGGATCCACTGGAGACTAATGAAAAAGAAATGCTGCCATTATAGGTCACAACCCAAGGGGGTTTTACAATGACAATGAAAATCAATAGCTACAAATTCCCGGGCCAACTTCTCAGGTTAGTTGACTAAAGCAGAGAACTCTGATGATGGAAAAAGCCCATTGCATGGTACGTTGCATGTGGAGACTATCCGTTTTGTGAGCAGGGAGAAGGAAAAGAGGAGAAAGGATGGGTGGGTGGGGTAGGAAAAGTGAAAAGATGGAGAATACCCTTACTGGATGCCCAAACGGGGTTGTGCCAATTTTGGACCATGAGACGTCCACGACGGCTCTCCTCAGAGCTTCCAGGGAAGCTACCTCTCCAAAGTCTGTCTTCATTTGAGGGACGCAAGAGAATAAACTCAACAGTTGTCTTGGATAAGTGATTTAAAAAGAAACCCTGAACTACGACTGGAAAAACTGGCAAAATTCAAATAAAGTCTGTAAATTAGTTTATATCGGAGCCAAGATCAAGAGTCAGCCGCTTAACCTGCTGTGCCACCCAGGCGCCCCAATAATTTCTTACTCTTGATCATCACACTATGTTTATGCAAGACATGAACATTAGGAGGAATGGGATGAAGGACATACGGAAATTCTCTGTACTATTTTTGCAACTTTTCTTAAGTATAAAAATATTTCAAAATAAAAAGTAAAAAAAAAAAACAAACCTCTTAGAGGATGGGGGAGGGGTGGGAACCTTATTGTGCATAGACAGAACTAGAGATGCTATGGGGTGAGGGGGTCAGGAAGGCTGTCAGATGACCTCATTTACTCTTTATAACAAACCTTATAAACACTCCCTCTGGGCCTATCCCTGGGTGGCGGAATTCTCTTCACTAACAATGCACTTACTTGTTTGAGGCTTGGCCTACTTCTAAATTCAAACACTTCCAGGAGAGATGACCTATTTGGTCAGGAAGCCTTAGTGTAGATTGATTTTTGCTAGCTGCTGCGGGCACTTTCATCTTTCCTGGAAGCTGTACGGCAACAAAGGTGGGGTCAACGGAGAGGTCTGTGCTGGAAGAAGAAGGCACTCTTCCTTGACTTGACAGTTAGGTCTGGACCCAGCTTTGTGCCGGGATGACTGAGAAGGCAGGCTGGGAAAGGAAGGTGTGGGACTCACTAGTACAGGGGATCTCTGTCATCTCGTTCATCA